CAGCTGGCTTTCGTGTCTAAGGCGGGACTAGAACTCCCAGTCTCCTGGTGATTGGCCCCAAATCACTCAGCTGGCTTTCATGTCTAAGGCGGGACTAGAACTCCCAGTCTCCTGGTGATTGGCCCAAAGTCACCCAATCAGCTTTCATGCCTTAAGGCAGGACTAGAACTCCCAGTCTCCTGGATTCACCACCCCTTCCAAACCAGCTCTGATATTTTGAATGCCAGATTATTGGGAGAAAACCGGGAGGGGGGGGGGTGTCCCACCATAAAGTCCTTGGCCCAGATCCTTCCGAAACCTGGTCTTCTCTCCAGGAGGTACTCTATGGTAACTAAATCTCATCCTACAGCTATCAAAGTCTTGGTTGAAATTCACTCCCTGGGGAATTCTGGGAGTTGAAGTCCACGAAGTCTTTCAAGTTGCCACCTTTGGAGATTCCTGACCTAAACGAATTCTACCTGCCAGTCGTTTCTTCCCTTGTTTTCTTCCAGCATTTCCATTTTTATTTTATTTTTATTTATTTTTTCCATTTTAATTTTTTTAGAATCACGAGGACTGGACGGTTTGCAACCGGTGTGAAACCTACCGCCCGCCGCGGGCCCATCACTGCCGGATTTGTCACCGCTGCGTGCGCCGGATGGACCACCACTGCCCTTGGTGAGCTTCGAGATGGTTGCGGCTTGGGCGGAGAACAGGCCAGCCCGGGCCCCTGAGCGGCTGAGCCTGATGGGTTCTGTTGTTGCACGGCTTGGTTTGGGGACCGCGCCCCTGGCTGGCCCTACCCCTCCCTGCCCAGTCCGTCTTTTATCATGCGTGTGTAACATGGCGCGCATTCCCGACCTCGCTGACCGTTGGCAGTTCTGACTCGTCCCTGTCCTGAGTCGCGTGGTCGCCTTTTTGGACGGGCAGAGTCCGTGGGGGAAGGCAGATTCACTTAACAACTGTGGCAAGGAAGGTCGTAAAACTCAACCTAGCAAATTCTTCCCCCCCACCCCTCCAAGCAGCATACAGTTTGGGCTCCGTCACAGTCGTACGTCGAGGACTTGCCTGTAAAGTTTGATTGGACGTCGCTGTGGGTTTCTATTCTATATATATATTCTATATATAAACAATATATATCTATATATTCTATCTATCTATCTATCTATCTATATCTATCTACACTATCATCTCTCTCTCTCTCTCTATCTATCATATCTATCTATCTATCTATCATCTATCTATCTATCTATCTATCTATCTATCTATATCTATCATCTATCTATCTATATCTATCTATCTATATCTAGCATCTATCTCTATCTATCTATCTATCTATCTATCTATCTATCTATATCTATATCTATCATCTATCTATCTATCTATCTATCTATCTATCTATCTATCTATCTATCTATCTATCTTCTATACATTCTTTTCCTTCACAGGATCAACAACTGCGTGGGAGAACTCAACCAGAAATACTTCATCCAGTTCCTTTTCTACACAGGTATAGTTTTAGAAGTGGGATCCACCCGCTGGGATCCCAAGGAGGGAGGGGAGCGGGAGAATCAGATCAGATCCAGATTTAACAGAGTTGGAAGGGGACCTTGGAGGTCATCTAGTCCAACACCACCACCACCCGCCGCCCAAGCAGGAGGCCCTATACCATTTCTGACAGATGGAAGTCCAGTCTGTTCTTGGAAAGCTTTAGCCCAGATTTAACAGATTAATGGGGTCGGAAGGTACCTTTAGAGGTCATCTAGACCAACCCCCTCCCCTGCCCAAGCAGGAGTCCCTACGCCATTAAAAGACAAATAGCAGTCCAGTCTCTTCTTGAAAGCTTCCGGGGATGAAGCGTCTGCAACTTCTGAAAGCAAGCTGTTTCACTGAATCTAAAAATAATTAGAGTTGGAAGGAACATTGGAGGTCATCTAGCCCATCCCCCATTCCCACCCCCCCCCCCCCGATCTAAGCAGGAGACCCTGCACCATTTCTGACAGAGGGGCAGTCTTCTTGAAAGCTTGGCCCCAGATTTAACAGATGAATGAAGTTGGAAGGGATCTTGGAGGTCATCTAGACCAGCCCCCCCCCCAACCAGGAGACCCCTACGCCATTTCAAACGGAGGGCAGTCTCTTCTTGAAAGCTTCCAAGGGACGGACCTCCCACAACTGCTCCCTCATCCCCATCAAAGGATACGAGAAAACTCAGTCGTTCGCACACGGGCCATCCTCGACTTACGGCCGTTGGGTTTAGCGTCCGTTCGAAGTGACGACGGCCCTGTCAAAAAGCCAAGATGCTGAACCAGAGAAAACGGTTGCTCTGTGGGAAATGGGAGCGGTGCGCTTGCGGCCTTCGTCCACTAGAGGCTGCTCCGAGCCCACTTGTCTTCCCTCCTGCACTTCCCTCTCCTCCAAGGCGGGTGTCTCCAACCTTGTGGGCCCTTGAAGGCTGGTGGACTCCAACTTCCAGCATCCCCCAGCTAGCCAGGAAAGATGATAGAGTTGGAAGAGACCAGAAGGGTCATCTAAGGCAAGGGTCTTCTAGTCGGAGGTCTTCTAGTCTAACCCCTGCCCAGGAGGTAGAATGTCAGAACTGGAAGGGACCTCAGAGGTCATCTAGTCCAACCCTGGCTCAGAATACAGAATAGCAAGAGTTGGAAGGGACCTCAGA